TACATAGTCGACTGATGATGATAATGGGGAAGAAGTTTTTTTTATTAATAGTAATATTGTTAATAGAATAAATAGAATCATTATCTTTTTACAGATTGAAAATTATTAAATCAACTTACACATCCTGAAACAACTCAATTAAATATGTCTCAGCAGCTAATTAAAAAAAAAATATAATATTATACACACACATATAAATTCACAAATTCATACATGTAGGATTCAATCAAAAAATAAATCAATTAATTACCTTCTTGAAGTGCTGTAATGGCTGTGGATTCAAACTCAAATCCCATATTAGAATGTTGTTGAAATATGTTTGTGGCAATTTCTTCAACCTATACATATATATACATAATGATTAATTGACTAGTATTTGTATATTAAATGATTATTAATAATGTAATAATAATCTTCTGATCACTAACTACTCTAGAAAAAGGTATTCTTCTTAGAAGAAGATTTGTTGTTCTTTGATGTCGTCTGATTTCATTTAAAGCTATATTATATGGCCTGTACCTTGGTGGTTTTGTGTAAAAGCCTGTTTTTTATTTTAAAATAATCATTTAGCCACTTTTACAAATTGATATGCAAATAATTATTTAAGCAAATTCAATTGGTTGAATTTTATACACATCTTTAAAAATCAGCACTTACATCTGGTATTTGTTGATTCATTTAAATTATTTGTCAGGTCCATTAGATCATCACCATCATTGCTATCATTATCATCCTTTGTAGACATAATGATACTGGTGGTAGTTACAATTTCTTGTCTTTCCTCTTCATCTTTTTCTACTATATTCTCCAAAACAACAACATCATCAATACTATCTTCTTGGTTTATTTTCCCTTCATTGTCATCCTCTTCCTCTGATATCTGCAGATCCTGTAATATTGATGCAAATATTAATATTACAATTTTCTAAAATATAAATAATAATTAATAAACAAGAATAACTAAAAAATACCTCTATATTATTGTTATATAATGTACTGTCATTGTACATTTCTAGCTGTAGTTGATCCAATTCTCTTGTTATTTTGTCTATTGTGAATTGGTATTTTTCAACTACATTATTTAAATGGGCTATATCTTGAGATTCATCAATTGTTTCTGATATGGCTTTTAGTGCATATTTGAAACAATGCTAATTTTTGTTCCAAAAAAATATAATTATTAGATCCTGACAAATTTACATACTCAACCAGTGTTGGAAATTCAATTGTGTCAGTTATACAAATTTGTTAACTTTTTTGCTAAGATAGTTTGCAAATTTGATTAGTGCACATACCCTGCACATCTGAATTTCCAACACTGTATTTCAATGAGAATTATGAGAATGGAATTTACTTACTAAATAAGGTGATGGTGATGGTTGAAAGATATAATAACCATTGTTATTGCTATAACTATTATTATCACCATTGTCACTACCACCACT